CCGCTCCCGCTCCCGCTCCCGCTCCCCTCCGTCGAGGAAGCCGAGCTCCGCCGGGCCCGCGGGGGGCCGGCCCAGCTGGCTGCGGGGGGCTCCACGCGTGCGTGCATTTGGGAGCTGCGGAGAAGTTCCTTGGTACCCTAAATATTGGGGGGGGAGGCGAGGAAACGGACGTAAACGGTCTGGTGGTCTCCGTTCCCAGGTTTTAAGACAGGAGCTCTGAGCTTCTGGGGATCTGTCCTCAGCACTTCACCTTGCTGGTCAGAGCTCCCTTAATTAGAGTCACCCATTGGGGGAGATGGGTGGCCTACAAATTTAATGATAAATAAATAAATAATTACCCTTTTTAATATCCCGGCAAACATCAAAGGTCACTGTAGGCCTCTCTGGGCATTTGCATAAAGAAGACAACATGTTTTGGAAAAGGTGCAATTACCTGAATATCCTTTACTCACACCGGGACGTGCTTGGCATCCCCTTTTTCCTGGAGCTGCACCCTACAGAGATCTGGGGGGCCGCTGCAGACCCTGCAGGCTCTGGTTTTTTGGTCAGGACCACCTAGGTGCTGTTGGCACTGCATTTGCGAGGACAGGACAGTGGCAGAATTAGCTGACAAGCAGTGAGAAATGGCCTGGCTTGCAAAAGCCCAAGTTGGCCGCTCCCGCCTTTGCAGCCCGAAGTTCTGCCTGAAAGGCTGAAAAGAGCTGCATTTGCTTCCCCGCCCACCTTCCCTGACTCCAGGTGCTGCTGGCCTTACTTTTCTCCTCTCTCTGCTCTTTCCCACTCAGGAGCCACTGCCCGCCTTCTCTCACCGGGGCCTTTTTACTCCACTATTCTTACCAAAGAAAGAAAGCGGGGGGGGGGAGACAGCAGACTACAAACCTGCCGCAGAGCCCCAAGTCGAAATCTTCCCTGCTTGGCTTTGCGATTCCCCCTCCCCAAAAAGGAGAATGATGGGAAACCCCTGGACTTGTGATGGTTCCGCCGAAATCTAGAATGCGTGGAGAAGTGCGGAGAGGGAGGAGGCCATCTCGCAGGCCCCCAGGACAGAAGCACTCTCCTTGCCGGAAGCCCAGGGCCGGGTGTCCCAGTAGATGGCTTGCAAGGGAGAGCTGACTCACCTGGTGGTGATCTCTGTTCCCCTTGAACTTTGGCCGTTAAATCTGGCCTTGCTCTCACAAATACAAAAGAACCTGCCAGCTCTTCAAGTATTTGAACAGTGCAACCACCTCTCACCACCACAGCATCTGCCGACTGAATTTGCCCTTTTTCCTCTTAAGATGGGTCCCCCGTGTTCCTGAGCATGTTTGTGGCCCTGTTTTGCCTGTATCTTCCCCCGGAGGATCTGATGTTTTCCCCACAGGAAGTCACAGGAGTGGCTGGATAGTAGATACGTAGTTTTCTGCAGTGGAAGAGTATCCACACAGAAACAGTCCCGTAGAGAAACAGCATCAAGATGTGCATCACTTTTGCATCCAACTAGCCTGGAAGGGCTTTACAAAAAGGCAGGCCTGTTTCACCAGGTTCTGTCACAGGTGCAGAGGTAACTCTCAGCAGTGCCGAGGAGGGAGGCCAAGGTAGTGTGCAAGAGTTCATGCGTTTTCTTGCATCTTCTCTTGCACTGCCTCCTTTCTCTCCTTTCCATCAGCAAGACAGGCCCTTGGGCAGAATCACCACTGGGGCAAGGAGGCGCTGGCCTTTCTGGTGATTTATCTCTTATTCTTTTCCAAGTGGACACAATCCAGCCCCCTTGGGGCTTGCATGCTGCTCCAGCTTGAACCATTCAGTTTGTGCAGCTATATTTCTCTGTACCCTGTTTTGACAGTAACAGGCTTTATGTACATACATTCTCTGTTTATTTTTCTATTTCCTTGGTATAAGTTCAGTCCAGGAATAGTTGGCCTGTTTGCTGTATTGCAGACCCTGAATGGAGACTTCTACAGAAGTGTGCTTTTCTTGCAGAGAAAACGGGATCTGTTGCTTTGGGTGTGGCTGTGTTAGGACTACGACAAGCAGAGCTAGAAGGCCAGCTGCCCTCCTCTTGCCTGCTCAGAAAGAGTCCGAAAGAGGAGAGTGGAGGCTGGCTCTTCCTGCAGCCCGGTCTTCCCTCCTTCTCTGAAAGGTGGCATTCTAGCATCAGCTCCATGGCAGCCCGGCCACTGCTTTGCCTGGGTGCTCCGTCCAACCCACGGATTGGAGGTGCTGCTCTGGAGCAAGCTGCTGCTGCTGCAAATAATGCTCAGGAAGGAGTGGTGGAAATTTCCGGTTGTTCACGTTCAGGGGTCTCAAATTTATTTTGGTGGCCAGGACATTCCCAGCGGGGCAGAGCAACTTCTCTTCCTTTTGAGCAAGCAGATCCAGCAGGGCTGCTTTAGTCTGTCCTTGTCTAAGCTGCTTGGTCTTCCGGTCAAGGTCCAAGCATGGGTAGAAATGTAGCAGGTGAATGTTTCCTTGGGGCTGACATTCAGCTGAGAAAAGTCTCGCGTGTTGTCAGCAGCCCGGCCATCCCAGCCAGCTGCTCCAGCTTGGAGTGGTAGCGGGGGCCAGGCTTATCCTTCTGCAGACTGGGGCTTGAAACACCCAAAGCCCAAGAAGGGGGCGGGTGTGGATTTCTGCAGGATGCCCTTGGGAAGGCTGCCACTGGACCCCCCATCGCTGCTGGTGGGGCAGCTTGTCGGTCCTTGCAGAGAAGTGCTGGCTGAGACGTGACCTCGCCACTTGGGGCTCCTCCTGTGGGCTAACAAGGCTGCTTCTTTCCCAGAGCTCAGTCCAGATCACGTTTGAGGAAAGCCCTCGGCAGCTGCCGGCCGTAACTATCAGCCACGTGGCCTATGCCGACCAGTCGGATCGCAGGATGGTGAGTTATCCCGAGGGGTGCGAGCGGGAACATCCTTTGCCTACAAAGCATGGCCCTGATTTGAACCCAGGAGGTTCTCGGATCTCTCCCCGCCTGCCCTGGTTGCTCTTCCCAACTCAGGAAAGCTTCCCCGGCAGTCTGCATAGCCCTGGGGGGTGGGGGGGAGGGTGGGGCCGGCTGCTCAGCTGCTCTCAGACTTCAGTCAAGGGGGCTTCTGCCCTGCGCGCAGTCAGCACCCTCTTGAGTCTTCCCACCTGGACTCTGGTTGGCAGCCCGGGCAACTTTTGTTGCCTGGTCTACATCAGTATGCCATGCACCTGCTTAAATCAAGGGCAGGGTGGATGAGGAGCCCATCCTGATTGTGGGTAAGGGTCACGGGCTGGTGGGGCCCCGCTCTGAAATTCAGATGGTCAGCTGCAGCTGGAGGGGGCCCCAGTTTGGTCTGGGGAGAAGGGCCCCAATGGGTTTTGCCAAGTGATGACAGCTGGCCTGAAACTCAGGCGGTGAGGGAGGCTGGCCTTGGTGGTTGCCCTCTGGCATGAGACAGCCATGCTCTTGGATCACAGCAGCTAACCTAAGATAATGGGTGCCCAGCACGTGAACCGACAGAGAAGCAAAGATCAGAAGGAGTGTGAGAAGCCAGTGGTAGCTCAGCAGATGCCTTCTCTCCCGATCAAAGAAGTGGCATTATGGGGGGGGGGTTGCTCTTTGCGGGAGCCAGATGTTGGGTTGGGAATGAACATTTAGTTGTGCGGGAGCTGAAGCGCTGAAAATAAGGAGGGCACCAGTCCTGGGGTGGCAGTTGATCGGATAAATGCTTTGCTCTGAAAGTGTTGGTTCCTCTTCTACTGAGTAAAGGAGGGGAAACACCGCAGTCCCCGGGAGACTCCCAAGGCCTGCCAAGTGCTTACCTGGATGGAAATCAAGTTTGCTCAGTTAGTTAAACAGCCAGGGTTTAAAACTCCTGGTCAAATGGATATTATAACGTGATAGCAAAGAGGTGCGGATGTATCTCTGTCATTCTAACGTCTAATACGAAGAGCGGCTCTAGGAGAGCAATCTGGATTAAGGTCAGGAATTGGGCGGATTAGCCTCTTTTCCTGTAAAACTGCAGGGATGGGACAATCCCTAATCCTGTTTTCTTGCTAAGAGCCCCACTCCTGAAAACTGTTATTTACTAGATTCTGGGACATCTCCATTTTCCAGTTCAGCAGCTTTGTTGGAAGGCTGCGGCAGGAAAAGAGGACAGGAAGAATTAATTAAAGCCTTTTTCCTGGACTGCAGTCAACACGAGAGATGTCTTCAGTAGCTCTTTCTGAAAGTTTAAAGCTGATGGGGCGGCATTTACCAAGCTCCACTATCGCTGCCCTGACTCTAGATGGAGCAGGATTGAGAGTGGTGCTGGGGGGACTTTGGAGGCTGTTGCTGCTGCTCTGCTTTTGGGGTGGCTCTGGGGAGGTGCGTTGTGACGGCCTCCCCCTTTTCTCCTCACGTCCAGGTGTTGCACTGCCTCCTTTCAACTGACACGGTGCAGTTCCCTGTCTTGGTCGCCCAGCAGTCTCCAGCAGCTGTGTCCATGGACACCTATTGCGTCTCCTTGGCTGTGAAGCAGGCCCAGGTAATGAGGGCAGAAGGAGGGGGCTGGAAACCCTCCCCCCTCTTGCTCTTCATGGGCTTGTCGTGGGGCACAGGGGCGGGATGGGGTTGGTTGCATTTGGTACAAGACTGGCTTCCGCATTGCTGCATTGCTGGATGTTAACAGCCTTTGACGGGATTTATTTTAGGTGATCAGAGCCAACTTAGAGTTGGTATAAAATGATCTTCTGCCTGGCAATTTGTACTGATGTCTGCTTTGTCCTCTTGGCCAGTTGGAGATCCATCTGGAGGAGGTGGAGGATGACGGGCTGCTGGTCTCATGGGCATTCAAAGACAGACCCGACCTGAAGCTCTCTGTGCCCCCGCGGCTCCAGGAGCATGACGTAAGCAAAGAAGGGGCAAGGGAATGTAGGATGAAAGCCCCCCCGTGGTCCTAGCCAGGATGATTCTGGTGCCCCGCTGCTATCCCCTCCCTCCCTCCCTCCCTGTCGTGGAGCTCTGCTGTTCCTTCTGCCAAGGAGACTCGAGGGACTTTCTGCCTGCCTGCTGTGCGTACTTTGCCAAGCACAGCCTTGGGCAGGGGTGCGGTGGGGTGGACATAGACCCTCGGCCTCTGTCTGCCTATGACGTAAGGCTACGTGGGCTGTTCTGTGTGGCTCAGTGCCAAATTCAGATGAAGACGGTTTCCTATCTGTCGCCTGAGGCCTCTCCGTCTCTCTGAAAATGCTGCCACGCCTGCGGTAGTCCAGGGAGGAGGCGTTTTCGCAGTCTGCTCGGTTGCCCTTCTGAAAGACCTGCGCTATGTTGGGCACTTAGCAAAATGCTGCCCAGTGCAACGGGTGCTCAGTGAATGCTTGATGAGCAGAATTGATCTGCCGGGATGCAGTGGAAGCCTACAGGAGCGGCTCCCCAGGGTTGTGTTCCTATGGTGGCAGCTCTCCCCTCTCCTCAGGAAGAGGACTCATCCCCTGCCAGGTGGTCCAGCATAATTTTCCTGGTGCCCCTTGCAGGACAATGATGGGAAGGTGGACCTGTCTATTATAAAGAACCTGATTGAAGACTCCATTATCAGCACCCAGCCAGCCATGATGGTGAATCTGAAGGCCTGCATTGCAAATGCCAATGCGGTAAGGGCAGAGTGTTGGGAGGGAAAACTTAATAGGGCCCCGGCTGTGCATAAAGATGGGAATGAATCTGCTCCTGACACCGAACGACCCACCAGTCCTTTCAGCCTGGAGCTGGTGATCTGCGGCTGGTCCTCCGGGACTTAGTCCAGACCTATCCTTTACCGTTGACTGTGTTGGCTGAGCTGTGGGGAGGTTTAGATCAGCATCTCCATAGCTTGCTCTCTTTGAACCCAGGGCAATCTCTGGAAATGGAAGGTAGTGTCCATTTCATTTCTTTATTAGAATTCTGCATTGCTCTTCTGGGCAAAAGTAAAATGTAACAAACTTCAACAAATCAGCTCAGGCGAGAACACAGAACGACAACAGCAGTTATGGTACTTTCCTTGGGCCTCTTCAGATGCTTAGAGACGGGGGGCAATCCTCCAGCCAGCCACTTAGCCACCTCCCATGTTCTCCTCCTTAGGAGCCCGGTAGCAGGCTGTCCCAGGGACCTCTGTCCAGCTCAGCGGCCCCCCTGATGCCCAAGATGCTCCTCCAGCACTTGCGAGCTCTGCACCTGGGCCCCCGGGAGAAACAAGGTACCCGGTGCCCAGGCGCGTTTGGGACTTTGGTCTCCTGGTGGTGAGGGGGGGCGGGGGGGAATC